GATTCCGAGCTCCCTAGCAACGACAAGGAATTTCCCCCGGAGTGTACTCTCCGATTTGGAATCGCTGTGGCTGTGTGCTCATCTCGGTCAGTCAGCAGCAGAAGAAATCGAACCCTAATGAGCGAAGCCCTGCTTCTTGTCTGGAACCTCGATCGTCAGGACGAATACGTAATTTACGTCAGATTCGACATTGGCGAGCAACTAAGCGATCGTCGCTCAATTTTTGACCAGGTTACTCTGCCCAATCAATGAACACGAGCGAACAAATCGTTGCCGAAAAAAATGTGCCGCCCAATCTGTGGGCTGTGGCCACCGCGGTATCCCTTGCCGTGGCGGTTCCGGCGGGAGCCGATGGTTTGTGAGCTAAGAAATTCGGAAGCGACTTTCTTCATAACGCCAAGGTCACTAATAAAGAGCTTTACCCCAACAGAACCAGGTCGGGCAGGCAAGCGGTGGTGGACAGCAGGCCGGCCGGCCGGCGAGCGGTCGCCGATCGTTAACCGCGGCGACCGAGTACTGTTTCGGACACCCCAACGCCTCGCCCATACGGGGAAGGAGGCATCTGCTATCGGTCTGAGACGTCGAGTCGCTCATTGTTTAAAAGCAAGGATCCGGAGCCTTTTTCACCAGTGGTTGTTGTGGTGTTGTCAAGTTCAGTCAGTCGTTCAGTTGTTTGTCGGTGGTCAGTTTGTCTGATTTTTGTCGGTTCGTCGAAGTCAAACATGAAAGCCATGAAGGTTCGTAGAGTTCTTTCCGTTCCCGCTCTTTGCTTGGTCCGAGTGACCTGGTTTGTTGCTCCGAGACGAACAATAGAAAATCGAGCGATACATGGATCGTATATCGCACCTTCATCGTTACGATGAGCGCCGGCATCGGTCGCGCAGAGATCACGAGAGCTCATACGATGCGAAGAGAGACCTTAGCCGTGGTGTAAATGGACGTCTTGAAGTGCAAGCGATAGGACATTCGCCCCCTCTGGATTTTTGTGTGAAACGATAGAGCAGTTGGATACGCCACGGAGCTGATTCCCTCCGAGGAAGTCTTTCCTCCTCGAGGAAGAAAGTACACTCGGATAGGGTCAGGGGGTGGTTTTCCGTCTGAGGGGGCGAAGCGGAGGTAGCGTCAGATCCACAGATGTGCCTCACATATCGGGCGGTCTGCGAGACGCTAAGTTCTGTCGCATGAATTTCGCAAGCTGCTGAACTAAACGTAGTATTTCTCGAGCTCACAGAGGGCAATCGCCGACGCTTGGAAAAGAGCTTCTGAGGAGCTCGAGAGAGTTCGGTCGACAGCACAGCAAACAGTCTCTCGGCTTATGTCGTTCTCTGATGTCTTTATGATGGAGTTTGCCTCGAATATCTCTCGTGTCTAAGTGTCTCTTTATTATTACAGACCACTTTGGCCGTCGCCCTGGCTGCGTGCGCCGTCCTCTCAGTTGAAGGTCTCGGACATTCGAAAGCCATCAAGGCTGGAGCTGCCATCGCGGCTATCGGTGCTGGAGCGCTGTCGCAAGTGGGCCCTGCCGTGGTAGCCGCCGGCCTCTGGGCGCCTCCCGCGCACTCCCACAACGACCACGGACACCACGGCGGCTGGGAGTCCCACGGACACGGACATGGACACTACGAGAAGATCGGCCACGGTCACGGCCACGGATACAACGAGTTCGGATGGGCTTCCCTCCCCTCCCCGGTCGTGAACATCGGTCCCCTGCTCCGTCACGTGGCTCTCCCCCCCATCCATGAGCTCCTGCCGAGAATCAACGTCAACCTCCCCCGAGTCAACCTCCACCACGGTCATGATCACGGCTGGCATTGAGTGTTCCATGTCGACCTCCAACCCCGTAGTGAATGTTGTCGTTGGAAGCCCTCACTCGTGCCTCCTCAAAATGTAACCTGTGTACGCGTGTCGTCCCCGGCTATTTAAAACATGTTATTCTCGGAGTTTTCAGCAGGGCCTGGATTCTTCGGAGAAACTGTTGTTCTACAATTCCTCGTGTATGTAGTACGTGTGAGCGTGCGTTTGACGTTTCTCGTGGATTTCGCGCTGAGTGCGATTTCCGCAATACCTGTATATACAATCTAAGTCCAATGTACATAAATAATGAAATGCCTTCCCACTGTCTGAAATCTACGGTTCCGTCCTTATTCTTCCGGCTATCGGCGCGTGCTATTTGCATTGTCGCTAATCTACTTGAAAGCGGAATTTCCGCCGCGAGACACGTTCTCACGCGGGAATCTGGTGGCAAATGCCCACGAGGCGCGCTGCCGCCGAAAATGCCAACGTTTCATTCACACCCCGACTAATATTGCAGCGGTACAGCCGAACTTCTAATACCAGCCGGGACTTAATCGTTCGAAGGAGAAGAAAACTTGAAATGAAATTAAAAGTTAAGCGATCGGCGTCTAATACCAGGCGCAAGTCGCTAGGTCCTCGCTTTGTATGGTCGCTAGGAGCTTGCGAAACTATCTTTTCCCCGCCTCGCTTTCGGTTCGATTAATGCGTATAATGATCACCGACAACAAATTGTGAAATGTCACAAAAGCAACCAGCATTCGCTGGTCCATTCCCCCCGACCTTCTCGTTCACTATTGGTCAGTTGCAACAATCGTCAACGAGGCTCCCCGCCTCCATGGATGCTTATTGAGTCACGCGTCTGATAATACCCTTCTTGTCAAACGATAAAAATGCCGAGAAATAATCAAAAACGAGAAAATGGATCAAGATGTGACGCAAGTAGACAAGCCACAAGCCCTATGCCGTTGTGTGCAGCCGTCCGATACAGCGGCGATCGGAATCCTGGGCGATGCTTGTATGGTGATCGTTCTACCGCGTTCCTGTTCGTTTCTCAGTTGCTCTTTGGATGTCCTAACGACTCCTCCGATATAGCGAGTGGTCCACGGGTATGTGTTTTCGTATCTTTTTTTCGTTCTTGAGCCACATCAAGAGCTTGGTGGTAGTTCGGTGCTGGGCCTAAGTGACTGTCTATCGCTTAGCTTTTCGAGGTGTGCAGTTCCGACTAACCGGACATGTCCTCATCGTTGAGATGAATCTTAGGGAACGAACCCCTGGAGATCACCGTTTTATATCATACTGCGCTTGTGCTTCTCTGTATGACGAGGTTTCGAGCTTGCACTGTCTGAGGCAAACGTTATCAGCACGGAGTCCTCCGCCAATCCAGCGGCAGAGCCTTGTTTGGGTTGAAAATCTCGCGAATCAGCCAACTGCAGCCGATCGGGGGCGGGAAATCCCTATCTGCAGCTGATTCCTTACCCAACCCGACGGAGTCTAGTCTACGGCGCCACACCAAAGTCCAAGAGTCTCATCCACAAAAGTTTGCCGATAGCAGCCCATTCGCAGAGCAGAACACTTTACGGAAAGGAAAAACCATCTATCGGAGCTTCACCGACGACAGACACCGGATTCGGCTCGGGTTGTTCGGAATCGCGTTTCGCTTTTGAAATCCTTAGTTGGCTCTCCTCCGGCTATACCTCAAGCCAAGTGGAAAGTTTTCGGTTGTGAATGCGTATGTGTGGTTTCCCTCGTGGAAACCGCCTCGATAATGCTTCGCTCGGTCGCAGATGCCTTTTCGCTCTTGGAACAGATCCATGCTTGCAGAACGAGGTATCGACTATCGACTAAGTTCATGCACGGGAATTGCACGGTAGTTTCAAACAGATGTGATGCTTTGACCAGAGGAGAAGCATTGGACCGGGACCGGCAGACTAAATAGACATCAGATCAGGAATTGAAGAGGGCCGAGCGAGTGGACTCATGACTGTTTGCACGTCGTGCCTACTTAATAGACTCGCGGGTCACTGGGAATCCCGAGCCTGTGTTACCGAAGTTTGGACAATAGCCGGGAAAGAATCGGTGCACTTGGCACCACCGGCCCAGATTCCGGTGGCTCTGACCCTCTCCATTCAGCAGCAATCGCATCATCAAGATTTCTGCGGGTATTGAATTCCTTGAAAAGGTAGCGAGGCTTGGAATTTCCAAATTGGGAATGTCGATCAAATACGGACAAACATAAACAAAGCCAGTTCCGGTTCGCTGAAGCATATCTCCGCTAGATTTATTGAATCATCCTTTCCATTATAATTGTCCCTCAAGTTGAAGGAACGTTCGGTTTCCTAATATGAGCTGCTGTAGCACGTTCGTTCCGAGTTTTGGATCCGTGTGAAAGCTTGTGGATCGTCAGAAAAAATGTCGATTCCTGATTCGGGCGAAGAGCTTTCACAATGGCATGTTTCCGATCGAGGTTGGCCACTTGGTCCACGATCGAGCTCAAGCCGCGGCGTCGAGCGGACTTCCTCGAGGCACAGCTGGCTATACACTTCTGATGGATTCATTGTATTTACACGAAATATGTACAATTAGGTCGAGTAACGAGAAGCAATGCCGTCGTCTGGTACGACCAGAGCTATGCGGGTAGGTCTATGAAGTCTTAGTGAACTTTTGATCAATGAATGCTTGTCACGCGTTTGGCAAAATCCTGTCAAATATATGAGTCAGCTCTACGTTCGTTTCTGCTCATTCTTCCGTCTCATGCTTGATCTTTGAACAAGGATTGGGAATCCATCTCAGGCTACGTATAGGTAACATCGAAGGACCATTTTGTCGCTCGCTAGTAACATGGCGGAGTTGACGGTCCGGAAGCGACGGAAAATGAGGAAATTGGCAGCAGCTCTTTCTCGAGCGGTATCGTCCGCGGGAGACGATCCTCCTCGAAGTCGTCCGACGCTGTACAAATAAATAATGTTCCCGGTTCCCCGTCGGTGAGGAACATTCCCGATCGGATGCTCGAAAGGCACGAAGTGAGCTTCTGTATTTGGTCTTGGAGCGGTCGTCTGTTTCGACCGATCTGCGCTTAAAAAAAATCAAGAAACCGATGAAACTTGTGGACTGAGAAACGATCTTCGAGACGAGTTTTGAGAAATTCGAGGCCGATTTACCGGCTGCCTCCCTTTTTGGAGTGCACTACTTACGCTGAGCATTGATTCCTACTCGCTTGGCTCCTCAACTTCGAAACCGACATCGACGGGACTGGGAGCTGCAGGACTATCCGATTCGACCTCACTTTCGTCCGACGCAGCGCCTTCGGGTCTCGACTCGGGCGCTTCGGAATTCGTTGAGACGGGAACAACGGAAGACGGTTTCACTTCTGCAATTGATTCTTGTGCTGAGTCGAGTCATTAAAGGGCGCTCGAACATTCCGACAGGCTCTCAATGTCTACGCCTTCCCGGGAATTGGGAACGAGATCATACCCGGTGCCGCTGGAGCGGGGGCTGGTGGCGGCGAAGGCGCTACCTGCACCACCGGAGCCGCCGGAACCGTTTGGGTGACAGGAGCTGGGGGTGCGGGCGCTGGCTGTTGTGCTGGATACTGGGGAGGATATCCAGGCTGGGGAGGGTATCCATGCTGGGGAGGATATCCAGGGTACATGGTAGGCTGCACGAGGAACGATGACGATGACGTCACCACCAAGGTTGTGGGGTAGGTGGAACTCGACGTGACGGTTCGGTATCGGGTGGAAAACGCGTTGTAGATTAGCGTAAATATCTTCGACGAATAACTCGTGCCTGTTGTCACCGTCGTCAGAAGAGAGGTGACCGTCGAATAACTAGGAGTAGGAGTTGGTTGCAGCAGGAACGGAAAGGGGAATTGTTGTGTTGGGGAAACCGTAATAACTTCGGTCGAGTACGAGGTGAGCGTGCGTTCGGTTGTGCCAATTGAGTCCCTGAGTGTTTTCGAACGAGTGCGTCGACCGTCGTAGAAGCTCACAACCTTGGTATTGTACAACGTGTCCGTCGTCAAGTAGGTGCTCGATTTGGTAACGGTTTGTAGAGACGGCTGAAGTTGAGAGGTGAGGCCGAGCAGGAGAGCCGCCAATGGGTTCTTTTGAAGAGCGTTTTGGAGCTCATTCAGAATGTTCATGGAAGCTTGAGCTACTTCGTTCTTTGTAGTGGCGGTGGCATTGATTCCTCCGGCTAACAGGTTCTTGATGTAAGCGTCGGCGTCCTCGCTGTCGTCGAGAGTGCTCAGAGTTTCATTAGCTGCTTCTTCGCTCGTCTCCCCGGTCGGCATCGTTCTAAGGCAGAAAGTAACTGTCAGTTGGAAATGCTAATTGTCCGCCTTCGGATATTAGTTCACGCCTTCCGCAGATCAATGTGAGTCGTGGTTTATCGTGTTGTTTAGGACCGAGAGTTCATAGAGAGGAGGGAAGTGTTTGTGGCAGTTTCCGGATTGATATAGTAAATTCGACCTCGCGGATCGAGCTGGATATGTTCGAATCGTTAGTTTCGAGCTCTGGCCTGTCTTAGAATGCTTGTTTAGGCGCGAAGCTGCGTTGTTTAGTCGCGTTCATCAGTGTCGTCCCCTGGACCATGGTCTGGAAAAATGTTTTTGGCGTTTCTTCTGTTTAATCAGCTCAGACTATTTTCAAATGTCGATTATTGCAAGCTTTCTGCGGCTCTCTCCATGTCCCTCCAAGGCATTCATGTTTGATTGGACCAGATCGTTCAAAGCGTTCCCGCTGCGATGTATAGCGTTATGTGATGTACGGGTCCCGTATGGGAGAACCGGAGTTGTCGATTCCCATCGTACTCAGTCTAAATCGGGGGATACCTGTAGGCCGTGACAAACTTCCTGATGACGAACGATTCCGTGATGGTTTGCATCGATGTCTGTCCGTCATGGGACGCGGGAACCAATGATGTTCTCCAGGTGTGTTGTTCAGTCGAGTAGGTGCGGGACTGCACAAGTGATGGCGTGGGCTCGATTCCTGCGGATACGAAAGAAGGTTTTTCCCGGCGACATTTATTCGGTCTGTGTCTTACACATTGACAGGAAGAACGACGATTATTATTATTGAATATAACTGCGCATGACGGGAGCAACGATGATTATTTTTTGGAGCCGCGCATGCCTCCGGACACAAACAATCACAGTCGTCATCAGCATTAGCATGCGAGCTGCGAACGTTGAGCCTCGGGGACAGCAAAACGTACATGATACTCATACTCAACATGAACAGCCCCGAAACCCCCATAGCAAATGTGTCGGAACAACCTCGTGCTCAGCCATGTTAGTTTGGGACCCACAGTGTGAAAACTCCAAACAGAGACCATGGAAACAGATTAGAATGGAGGTTACCTTTGGCTGGAGGCTAAGGACGAACGAAAGGAGAGGAGATGAGATCTAGTGTTGGTGGTGGGGAGTAAGCTCAACGAGAGGAAAGAGGAATTAGTCAGTGGAACGATCCGGCTGCCAAGGACCTTACGTCCAAGGCACTCAGCGGGGAGTCGTTCGTACACGCTAGGAATCAAAAGTGAGCAACTGCGCCGGTGCCCATCATCCGTGCAACATGCAATTCCGAGCTGATCTATGCTCTCGTGCTCTACGTTCGGCAGCTCAGCCATTGCAGATGAAACACGACAGGCAGCTGTAAGATGGTTGAGATGAGCCTAGTGGCGATCCCAAGCTTCACTTAGCGCAGCCGTTTCGCCGGTCGGGATCCAGCGGTAAAATATTTCCATCCGCAATCAGGCACCGAATTTTCGAAACCCAATTTGAATTACGTGCGAGTCAGGGAAAAAATAAGCGGAGACTCGCGGCCAGCGGTACGGTAAGGCGCGCCCTGATCCCTCTGAATTCTCCTAATGGGACCTATCGGACCTTGAGGAAGTTGAGAGGAGGTTTTACCATTATCACTGATTCCGTTTGAAAGCACTTCACTGGCTTCGATCGTCGTGGGAATCGAGGTCTTGATGGTGAGGGTTCGAATTACGGACTTGCGATGACCGGCTCGAAGAGTGACGAGAGAGGTTATTGTCGTGGGGATCCATGTTATCCGAGCCGGGTCGATGTTCAGCAAGGGATCATCAAGGTCCAAAGCTTTGACGTGCGAGTCGAAAGCATTCAGCTGCTCGACCTCTGAGGGCAGAGCAGTTTGGTCTTCGTAACGAGAAGTAAGTCGAACCTTGAAGCGATTCAGGCGAACCTTGAAATCCCCAAAAGAGATCAATTAGGAACCTTCGTCCAGTCCGAAGCCAGTCGGGAGCCCAGGGGCTTCAGGAGGTAATCGGAAATAGGATCGAATAGATATTATCATGATTTAAAAACGTAGAAAATCCGATTTTCCATGTTTTACAATGTGATGAGTGATATGGTACAGGTGCGATGAATAGTATAATATGAATATATGAATAATTTTATGGGATGGGGTGGGAAATGCAGACGAAAAAAGCGAGGCTATTTCATATTTCTTACCGAATGGCTCTTCTGGAGAGGGGTGTACCGAAGTCGGGCCGTCGAGGACTGACTCCTAGCGCCCTGTCGTTTGCTATTCTGAATCTTGTTATCATCTTCGACTGTTTCGGTAAACTTGGGCTCGAGTCTGGCAGTCTGTTTTGCCTGTGGTCTGAAATCTGTTGCGCTCTTGAAAGAAGACTGGAGGAATTTCTCCATGCTGTCATCGTCCTCCCCCCACGGCGTTCGATGCTCTGCAAAATTCCATTAAAAATCAATGAGTTCTTCGGTCAGGCCTCACAGGCATCGGGTCTTGGCGTCGTACAGATCTAGAGAAGTTCTGAAACAGGGCGTCGGGGTGTCGAAATCGATTATTAAACTTCAGGACAGAACTGAGGGACGCGACTCCGTTGCGCATGGGCCATTGGAGACGCGGTCTCTATTTTCCTCTTCCGCACTTGGGAATTATCTCTTCGGAACCCGAGGGATCCTATGGGACAGGCACGCTTTCATACTCCTTGGATGTTCCCTCAAAATTGTTAGACGGACGTGAACGCCAGTGTACGCCATCCAATACTCGATATTCGCTTGGAAATTCCATCGCCTTCGACGCCTCCAGTCCTCCGAATGTCTGTTGGTATGTACCGAGAGATATCCGAGAGGTTCTCTGTCTTCGCCTCTGAGGATACATGTGACGTGTTCGAGTATTCCTCGCCTCCATGTATGGACTCTATGCGAACCCTGGTTTTGCGAAAACATGCATGACGGATCACCTCAGCAGCCTTCATATTTATGGGTCGCAAACATCTACACGGAATGTCTTTTCCGTTGAGCGTAGTGGGGAGTGTACCTACGTGATAGACGCCACCGGGGGAGCCTGCGCTTGGCGGAAGTCCCACTGATCACGGCGAAGCGAGCCCGAGGGAGAGCGTATCTGACTGCTATCATTGATTGTAGTCTCACCAAAGTAAATGAACGAGGAAAAAAGGAAAGCGGAGATTCCCCCGACATATCCCACGATTAGAGGGCTCCGTGACAACACTGTCAAGGATGGCGAGCGGCTAACTTTCTGTGGATGAGGCGGCCATCGTCCACAATCAATAGCAGGAGAGGAGTTCATTAGGCCGCTCGCTACGGTCGGAAGGTCCGGACCATGCATGGAGTTCAGTCGCTGACTAGACAGAACTAGCTTCTCCGTACTAGCAGATTGAAAGCTCGAGTACGGGAATTATTTACTCAGGTCGCTACTCTTCACTCGGAGACGGGGAAAAGGTGACGGGGGTGTATCGAAAATACTGACGAGCAAACGTATTTCCCGAAGTCAGGATCTCGGGCAGTAATGTCCCTCCGATCGCTCCGTTACGATTCCGCGAGGGAGTTTTCTTCGAGGGTGTCTCTGCGTACCGCGTCGAGTTCCCGCGCTCAGCGCTCCGTGTGCGGGCACTTAAGACGACAGGAGCAAACTTTCGGAACCATGCAGCTCACCCTTACAATCATCGTGGCATGATCCACCACATCCAGCCTGGCGAACTCAAGCGGAGAGAAGCTCATCTCAGAGGTGAGTTTGTATTTTGCTACGGTAAACCTTGAGCATTTGTTTTCGGATCCAGCTCGTGCGTATAACCCCGCCAATGACTCTATGCACCTTGAGCTTAGCCGAGATCGAGTGAATTCCTGCTGGGTATATGCTGATGCATTCGCGATTTTTTGTTCAGCAAAGCCCGACTAACCATTCGCAGAGGGTGTGGATCGCTGTCTGTCGTCGCTTGTTTTTCATCTCGGTCTTGTTGTATTCGCTTAAGCCCTCGACGCTGGCAGGCATTCCGAATACAGGAATAAGACGTACGCACTGGAGCGAAACTGCGAGAGCCTGAATGGAAGACGAAGATGAAAACGGAGCATCCGTCATGTCTGGCCGCACGTCCAGTTGACGAAACCTGGAGTGATCGTCCGCAGGGACTTCCGTCGAGAAATCTCCTCGACGGGGCTCGTTCAACTCGTGAAGCACTCAACTCGAGCTCTCCGCCGCTCGCTCCTCGTGATTTTCATCGGGACGACTCCCCCGAAGATGCGCGGAGGGTTGCAGCAGAAATCGGGCGAATATTCACAGCATAAGAAGACACTCACTTCTATGGGGCGCCTTTGACCCGCGGCTATTCATCATCCCGTAGCAGCTTTGTCTATAGACAATATACTCTCGCTATTATCGACTAGCGTGCATTCGAATGACACTCTTTCGATGGCGCGGATGTCAACAAGGAGGCCGCGGCATACGGATGGCCTGTCATAGGGAAAAAGCGACATCCTCGGGCATCGTGATGGAGAGTGACAATCCACTGCAACCGATAGGCGTTGCTGATGAAAAGCCAGGGTTGCGAAAAAGAGCATGGTCTGCCAAAATAGCGTTTGAAATCACTTCTGTGACGACAAGGACACCGCCGGTAAAATCTAGTCGGGGAAAAAATCCTCGGAAGGGACAAGGAGAAAACTCCATCGAGTCAGTGCCACAAGCCGAGGAGCGTCGAGCCGAGTTCAACATCCACCATCGTTTTTCGATAACGAATTTCCAATAAGATTCGTTCGCTTCTAAACGAGTCTGAGGATCAGTTACCCCGATATTTTTCGTCGAAAATTGCCGGGAGATCGTTGAACAAGTTTACTGAAATCTTGGCGCTCACAGATGCATAGACCAAGCCAGGAAAGCCGATTTACTCATCTGACGCATTCCGAAGACTCAATTTCTAGACGGGTTTTATTCCTGTGCTCTGATCCGCCCCTTATAGGGAGCCCCGATCCGCAACCCCGACTGCCGTTTCGGCTACCGCTCCAAAAGTACTGTACGCAACCTGTCAGCCTAGGTCAAGTCTGAGGGAAGACTTCCGACGAAGGCACTCATTGTTAGGTCTTGAAATTCGAATTGCTGAAGGTCGAGATAGGACTGTAAGCATTCCGCGGTCGAGAAGTTCCGTGGGTTGCGTTACGTAGTGCAAGCTACCCGGCTTGCCATGAATCCTCCCGACTGTTCCGATGCATACATCTTCAAAAACGCTTTCTTAGGGGCTGGAACGCATTCTGAGAACTCCAGCAAACCAGCCCATCTGACATATGCGACGGCCCTGTGGGGTCAGAGATCTCGGCTAGATAATACCGACAAGTAGGCCGACCTAACTTCATACTCGCCGGCATACCTTCAACCGTGTCAGCTTTCGAAGCACAAAAAAAAGGATTCTCATTGAACGAGCATCACGATGCATAGCTTCCCGATCCCAGCTCAATTCGCTTCCGATCAGAGAGCGTCGATCGCTTGAGCAGCACAAGCTCGGTGAGAACTTGATCTTTCGAGGGAAAAACGCGGAGCGCTCCACGACGGCCGCTTCTGCGCATCACGACAGGAGTCTGGGGGAAAATCCCGGAAAGGTCGTCCCGGGCTTATTGAAAAAGAATGACTTGGAGACGAAACTAGGTCGGTGGTACTCGCTCGTCGGGAGCCTCCATTCGAACAGCAGCGGCTCTCCGCAAATGACGCCCCCGGGAGAGCATTTTCGGTTACGATTTCTCGACCGGGAGACGGCTAGGAGCTCGCGCCTCAGAATATCCGGGGATCATGCTGGATTGGATACAATAACGAGCAGCGCAATGAGAGTCAGGATCATTCCGAATGAGAGCATTCTCCGGCACCAGCTCCAAGGAGGATTCGAATGAGTGAGCGCTCGGGAGCCGCCGCGTTTTTTCCGTGCCTAAGTTAGTGGTCTCTCGTGTTGCGGAAAACGTCCCGCTCCCGGGCCCCCAGCGAAAGCAGAACGGAATGTCAGGGCGATTCATGTAATTCATCAGCTCGGAAGCTGACTGCCTGTGCCTACGAATGCTTCGCAGACGATTTCCTCGGCCTGCGGTCCGGAGAAATCATTGTACGTGCAGGAGCAGAACGGAAGGGTGTATGAAATCAGAGAACGGAGGTCTGACCCTACTCCCGAGTCTGGGAACCACGGATCCTGGACTTGGGAATGTTTCGGCAATAACGTCACTCATAAACTCGACTTGATCGGACTTAGGGGTGAAAACGTGGACCCGAAGCTCGATCTTCGGATCAAGCGACTAACCCTCTGTTCCGGCGAAAGCTGATCATGAAATTCCTCTTCATCGGAGAACCCTAGGGATCTCTGCAAGAACCATTATGTTTGGAACGGACAGCGGTAGAAATCCACAAAAGCGAGGAAAATACTCGGCCCGGAGACGCCATGACATCGGTAGAGGCACGAGTACGGACACAAGTAAACATGAATCGATTCATTTTATTTCAAGAAGAGGAAGATCCAGTTGAAAGCATGCGATATCAAAAAGCATGCGCCCGATCCCCCGGCGAAATCGAATTCATGCCGTGCACGTTCCTCCTAGGTGAGTCATGCGATCACCCGGAGGGAACGAAGCGAGAACGGAAAGCCATACGCTGCGATTCCGCTTTCTGTGTATCCCAACGAAAATTCAAGCTCCGAGATCAGCATCGGTTACTCATGCAAATGAAGACAGGCCGAGCCAGCTTGAAGCGTTTCACCGTGCGAAGCGATCGATACCCAGTGCCGACTTCCGATTACAGATATTGCTCTCCGAGCCGAAGAGCCTTTCCGTATCCATTCCTGCACCATGTTATACCCTCCAGTCCGGAGCTCGGCCGTTAGTGTGTGCCCCTCAGCCAACACAGAGGGAGCTTTCGAAAAATGCAAAACTCCAGGTCCTATCGGGGAGCAGGCGAGGATCGTGAATCGTGAGTTATATTTGGCGCGGGTGGACACATGCAACCCATTAAGTCTCTGCGGATGCTGACGAGCGATTTCACATTTCGCTTTCTGTGGAAAACACATCATGCCCGAATTCACCCTTAGAACTCAAATCTTTGTCGAGTTTCTACTCATGCTATGTTTGTGATATTCTCGGTGATTACCGGATGCCCCCGTATCTACGTGCAGCCTCCAATTTCTGATGAGTTAAAGGCCTTCCATCGCTGCATGCTCTGCTTCTGTCGTCAGTACTGAATTCCCGTACCTTCAAACGCAGGTTGAGTATTCACAAGCCACTTGATAGTCGACCTTCATCATTCCTGCTCTCCGGACGGGCTGGCATGCTCTCAGATTCAATTGGTCTAAGTGGTTAATCACATTATGTACCGAGCGGGAGCACCCAACAATTAGAGTAGGAGAAGGGAAGCGCTTCCGCTCAAAAAAAATCATCTCGCCTGAGACCGTCTCGTTTCCTCCCCAATCTGCTGCGCAACTCCTCCTGTTTCTCTCCAGCCTCTCCGATCCATTCACAGAGTGGGTTACGATAGTATTTACGGATGTGAATTCTTCTCGGCATGCATTGAGCTCCGGATATCGCGCCGTTGCCCGTCGCTTCCTCAGCCAAGAAGGCAACGGCTTTGTGTCATCAATCACATGGTAGACGGTCACAGTCCAAAGAAGGTCAGAGATCAGGCGGTGAGATGGAGGTTAACTCGCCTATAGTAGCTGTATTCCCAGAAGATCCACTTAGGGAAGGACCATGCCCCGCCACCATTAACGTTCCAAAGAAGGACTAGTTCCCCCGGTCATCGCATTCGCGTATACCTCAGCCGAGCCTCCGGTTGTGCTGCCGAGGATTCTCTCGGAACTAGCCGCCTCTCAACTCGAGTGAACACAGGCGCGAATTCATGCAATTAGAGAATATCTTTACCCCGGGATATCATGCTCCCGGGAGTGTGGTAGGAGACTCGGAAGAGATTCGGTCCCACGGTGATGTATGTTTTCATGCAGCAGGAGGAAGAGGCGCTCGCCGAAACATCACTGTCGTTACCTGGAGCCCGCATGCGAGGTCCAGAAGCCGCTGAGATTTTTTAGCGGGGCATTCAGTCGTTAGTATACATGCCGGTGAAATACACTGAGGGTCAGTCTCCCATGCGCCCACAAATGTCCACCCGGTGTGTTCGATATCCAACAAATCGACGAGTTGATATTAAATTTTTCACAGTTAAACGGATCATGCATCGAATTCCGGACCCCCGGGTCATTCCTCGTTCACCGATGAATAATCACGATGCTCCAAAAGTAGCTGAGCCGTAAGCGACATTTTTCCAAGCGTCCCTGCCATGCAGAGCATTTTCCGGAGCCCACCATTAGTACAGCGACAAAGATGAATATTATGAACGTGAGGATGCCACGAAACAGACATTTGAATACTCGAAGTGCGCGAGTGCGTTGACGGCACGATCAGAGAGACCTCAACCACTCGGAAGGAACCGCTGGAGACTCATCATGTCAGAGACTATTCATAGGACGTACAGGGAATAAACAAAAATTCACATCGTCAAGACGGGCCCCATTCCTCGACACAGAAAGCATCCGGTACAGACACGGCGACGAAGCCGGGAGCCTCCACTCGATTGCTTCTTACAAATGCCGCAAGACTCAACACGAGGCGTCAACGGAAGACGAACACGTAGATACGGAGACTATAGCGTCTACTCCCGACGCGGGAATACAATGAAAAAACGTTTAGAATGTAATCACTTGCGAGTTGCTGGGGACGAACGAAGCTAAGGCATTCAGTGAGAAAACGCTTCGGATAAACCACTGACCAGACACTAAGCAGGCGAGCTCGAGCGCCTTTGCATGGCAGCCAAAGGCATCTCAGCGACACACGAATCCGACCCAGCGACACCGATCGTAGACAATACGTTGGAAGAAGAACACGTGACATCAAGCGAAGTCATAGCACACATAATCGCTCATTCGAAATTTTCCAGCAGCTCCCCGCAAACTTGCTGACCAAGCCGTATGAAGTCAGCTGACCTCTGCTTCGATGCACCAAGTGCTCTCGGACGCTGCCGATACTGTTTCCCCACATGGACCATGCTATTCAGGACCGGTGCATCGAGCTATGAACTGACCTGAAGATTCGGCGAAGTTGACGCTGTCTGTCCAGGGGCGATGTAGGTAGGCGATGGCGCCACGTTGCGCGCTTTCGGCGTTGGCTGGATTATTTTCGACGTGGACTCGAGGATTTGGGCGTACTTGCCCTGGATATAGGTACCGATAACTTTCGTTTCATGGATTGTCGTGGCTCCATGGGATACCATAGTGCCTCCGAGCACGGTCACCAGGCCTGTAAACGGGAATCATTTCAAGTTTCCGGCTGGAGTCGGATTGAATTTCGACGCGAATGTCTTCTCTCGGTCACTGGATGTATCCGTCAATGCTCTATGCACTCCTTCCGTCCCTGATGGATTCGAGAGAGCGATTTCTGGGAACGATCATTCACTTCGTCTGTGGGGCGGACGATTAAAAGAGACTCTCATGTCTCGTTGGGCCGCTCCAGAAAACCGTTCTGGAGTTATTCAAGTCCGCAGCCTGTTCAGATGAAGGATAGTGTTCCAATCAGAGGCAAAACTTAATTATACTTTTGTTTCGGACAAAAATCCCGATAACTCGGCTCTCGAAGGGACCTTGGATCATTTCCGCTTGAAGAGACTTGAGTAACGGCTAATTCAATGGTCGAGAAAACGACGCGCTCTTGATCGACGCGAAATAACAGCTCGACTCAGCCCATTCCGACATCTGGGTATTCCCACCTACTCATGTCGAAACGAAAACCAACACAGCGAGAGACGCGTACGATGAATCTTCGACAACGAGAAGCAGCGAGGGGTGTGTCGGGACAAATGACTTTCGACACTTTTCCGTCGACGATTTTCCCGCGACAAGCATCTTTTCTTCTTTTCGATGATCCTTGACGCTTCGACGCAACGAATACTTCCAGGAGACAAACAGTTTCGACGGATCGATCATAAGGGCGGCCCCGGAGGCGCCACCAGCAGATGCCCTGATTTGGTACGATTGATCCTTTCTCTTTTGAATGATTATCACGATCGAGATTAAGTCTCTCCTGGTGAGATCGTCGCATGAACAACGTTTTTTGGAGTCGACATCCAGAAGACGAGCGGCCTCAGTCGAGCGTAGACCGCAGAAACCAGAAGCAGGAGGAGACGTGAAACGGAAGGGTATAATGCTTCGGTAGCATCTGGGATCTTTCCCGGGCGTCTTGTGAGAGCTTTTCGTTAGGCTCCGTGTTTCCCTCAATCAACACATCTCGTTCACGAGAGCAGAACCAACAATGTTGAACAAGGTTCGCCACACTCATTTTCTTTACGCGTTTCACGTGTTCTCCGAAGCGAGCTGAATTGCAATCAATTATCATTGCTCGGAAGTCTGGGCGAGTTCTCTGTCGCGTCGAACCGTACGCCGGGAGAAATCATTCGTGTAGGACAATCTGAAGAGCCATCAATCACTGAGACGCTTACGTACACATCGTAGTCGGAAACAAGTCGAACGAGAGCATGCTGAGCATCTTCCAGACAGTTCCAGCGCAGGTAGAGCAGAAATCACAGATTTCGTCACACTCCGCGTCGCGCTCGAATTCTATCCGAGATTCGACGTTTCAAGTACTTGTCGAGATCCTGACTGAACATCTCTCTATCTGGCGCGAGCCATCGACGGAAGATGTTCGGCGTTGTCGCTATCCGAATCGGAACGCGGCAAACACAAGTAGGATGCAGTGTTAACAAAAGGAACAAACTTTCGCCTCCAGAAAAGGGAAATTCTCTTTCCGGCTCAGGGAACGACAACTCGGCGGCGATGACAGCAACAGCACCAACGTTGCAAGCCGACGTCGGGCTTGGCGTCTGCGGAAAGAAAAAACGTCAAAAGCCTTCCTCACCGCAGTTCTAGTCGCCCTCCCCTTAACGGCACGCTGCCGAAAAGCCTCTTCCCCCCTTGTGAAAATTCACCGTTATTGAAGCGACATCGAGTATCCACTCGCTCCAAGGCCTTGGCGAAAGGTCTCCGTCGGACGGAGGAATTATTAATAATTCACGGCACCGTCTTTATTATTATAATATTCCGACTCTGACAAAAATGACCCGGACAGCGATCGAAGCCTTAGATCAGATATTGTGGAGAACTAACCAGTTCTCAAGGGAGGTCGACTAGACGGATTTTCGCCGAATTTCACGCTTAGCAAAGCTTTTGATCGGATAAGGTTAGCTCACGCCTACTACTTATCAGGGGTCGACGTCGTGGCAGACAAACACGAAACCCGTTATTTTGACGGATAAGAGAGAGATTGTAGGGGGAACAAAAACTCTTCCGTTCGGAAATGATTGGCAGCGACGCCTGCCTTCTGGCTTTTTGATGACTGCTTGTTTCACTCCTTTTCTTTCCATTATACTGTCGTATCCGTCGAATCGGAAGTTCATAGCTCTCGGCGGAAATAAGCACTACGAACAATTGGAATCAGCCACGGACCTGAGCGGGTTTTCTCCGCGCTCGCGCGTTTTTCCATCGCTCGCGGCAGTCGGCCCGCCGAGATTTTTCCCGGTGAGCCCCGATAGCGCCTAGCTGGAATGCTGTCACGTATGGGACCTCGCCCGGCGGACAATATGCAAAAAGCCCATTCAACTTTCTCTCTTTCTCTGCTTGAGCAATTATGCTGACAACCGAGGCATAATCACGCAGAATCAGAGTGGCAGGGAATTAGAGTGCACGCCTAGTCTCCCACCCAGGGCTCGACTTGTAAGTCGCGTGACGCAACCACGGCTGCCGACTGGAGCGCAGCGGAAGCTGGTCAGAAACCTAAATACATGTGTCGGAGCTTTCAATCTGATTGAGAATATTCTCGTTGGTAAGGTCTCCCGCTAGAATCGCGAAGCGAGGAGACGACATTGGCCAGCTCTGACGACGCAGAGGCCAGCTCTGGCGACCTTCACTGTACACAGTTACTGTATGCAGTTCGAATGGCCCATAGAGTGGGGACGGAGGCGGGGAAGGGAGCAATGCGAGTAAGAAGGTGATAGAGAGAAGTATGGCGACGAAGCGGACGACCCCGTCGAGATTGATGTAACTCGGGGGAACTCTCCAGTCGAGCGAGGACATTATTGATCGATGGGAAACACAAGCGAGCCTTGTCTTATTATCCATGATCTCTATCTCTGGGATCCAGCTTCGAGCTCGTTTCCGTCTTCGAAGGCAGCAGGCGTCGACCTCGCCGTCACTCGCTGGAACCACACCAGGGCATTGAATAGGGATCACCGTCGCGTCCCGACGAAGTCCCAGAGGTGTCGTTTGCAAGCAAGTTGGAGAAAGCAGAAAGAAAGTGAAGTACATCAGGAATGTCTGTTTGAGGTGTGGGGGGAATGAGTAAGGCTGGGAATCATTCACGGCAATGCTTCCGAAGATTCATGGCATTTTTCGCCCCCCTCACAGATTTTCTATGGAGGATCGCCTGGGAAATCGTGGAAATTCACGGCTTCCGGCGCGACCGCGATAACCCCCAGCCCTAAATGTACTCTGGAAGAGAAACTTATCCATCGATCCGTTGGACTCGTTATCTTTGTATCCGGTTCGCTTCTCTATTTCAAGAATCTCGGTCTGGAGTTTCTGCCTACATTGGAACCGTCCTCATTGAGCGAAGGCTAGAGGCATGGAGAGCCGAGTCATCAGGCTTCGAGCGCGCCTGGATGAGTAAGTTTGGTAGCTGCTCGAACGCACATTCTCGAACTTACCGGTGGGATAAGCAGCGCTGTTGGCGGTGTTTTCTACGATTCTAGTCACTGGTGCATTTGTCTGCGTGACGATTTTGCCGAATGACTTGGTGGACGCGGATGCTGAAGCTTTGGAAGCTGATTTCGGCGAGGACTTCGGGCTCCACTTTGCTGAGTTGCCTTTCGCAGTGGCTGCCTTAGCGATCGACGAGGAACTCGATGCTTTTACCGGGAAAATCGCCGAACGAGATGAGCTGGACGGGGACCAAGACTTCGTCGACGATGGGTTAATTCTTGGCGGAATGCTGGAAGCGAAAACACAAACGGATCAGGTCGGGGAACTCCTTAGTTAAGCCGGGGAATATTCAGAGAGGGCATCTCCATTCTTAAGTCACGGGAACCCGCGAGCACGGGGCTTGAATATTGATTACGAATCAACCCTGTATACAATGCCTCCGCGCAAGTCGGTGTCAACAGACATGTTCGGATGAAAGGGATGAATATGAATTCTCAGTTGACTAAGAAGCGACTATTCGGATTATGTCCTTAGACTACGGGGTGCTCGCATACCTCTCCTCGACATCATCCGGCTCGATTTCGAATCCGAAAACCTTGTTGGCTTGGGACAGGTCCTGGAAATCTTGCGATTTGTCCAGCGACGAATCTTTCGGAGTCCCGGATTTGAGAACGGTCGACTCCGGACCGAATTCCACCTTGGCAGCCTTGGTCGGAGCTGAAAGTGGATTTCGAGGGCTCATGACTTATTCCGTTAGGAACGCGAAAAATCGTGAAAGCTTCCAGTCCTGAGAAGCTCCCCTAGAGCTAGAGCACTCCGATATCCTCGTTCGGGGAATGTAATCAGAGCGCCGGTTATTTGTTGGCTTCAAGCTGAATGTAGTTTTTCGCATGCATCTTGACTCATATTTAATAGCTCGATGAAGACTCTCACCAAGGGCTTCGTTTGCGGGCTGCTGCGGGGTTTCTGATGAAGGAGTGAATACAATAACAGTGCCATCCACTGTCGTACGGAAATTGAGGAAACCCCTCACGGTCACCGTCGGAAGATCCGATGGGGATGGTTGGATTAATGCTTCAGGCTCCGGCAAAGCATTGACAGCATCAACTGCAACAGAAAAAATAGTGATTCTGAGTGACGATTGATACGACATGGAGCCGTGGGTCTCAAGGTCGGATGCGGGGGGAGGTTTAGGATTCTATGCAACGTATCATGGATCCGATCAGTCTATTGCTTGAATATCATGACAATAAGGAGCAGATTCCGATTGTTGACGATGAATGGGTAACATTTGTCCTTCGTTCTTTTGGGAATCATTGCCGATCCGAACGGGAACTGGAAAATATGCCTCGAGGAACGGCTGACTGAGGGTGGAGAGTCCGAGCTCGACTTCCCTTCTCTAATCCAACTGACGACCGCCAACGATTCTCATCCACATCATCAGGAATCAACTAAGCCACTTCCGTATTCAGAGAACTCTCGAGCTAACGAGGATCGTGATTAAGTAGTTACAGGCGTTGGAGCGTTATTACTCAGCTCTATCGGCCGAACCGGATTGCTAGATTGCAGCGAAAGTTCTGTAGTGAGAAAGCAGGGAAGAATCTTCGAGCTGGTTGCCAACTCAAGGATCAAGGTCTCTAGGAGGAATGTATGAGGAATAAATCAGATAGTTCAGATTGAAAGTTTCAAGAGTCTCATGTCTCATCACCGTTGACAGCATAACACGTGGCCGGGAGGTAGCCATATGTAAATGCTGTGATTCTGGTATACCGCGTGAAAGGAAAGTGATGAATAATTTCTCGTTATTAAGGAGCCGTGCCTGATCAACAAGCATCGGCGGTCAAGCTTCCGGATTCGCTACAATCGAACAGCAGAGGATCATAATTGGGTACGGTCACGTCGACGCTGAGCCGAGTCCGAAGAAGAAGATCGAATCCAATTTCTCGGGGAAAATACGAGTCCCTATTTCCTTTGATCACCGCTGCTGTCAACTCGAACAATGCCCGACTCTCTCAAGCTTCTCCTGTGGTCATGTGATCGGCGTTGTGGCCTCTACTCCCGCTAACCTCGAGAAAAAGCCCCGGAAGAACCGCCCATATGTTTTGGCCTCCGCGAGCACAATGCGTACCTAAATATAACCAACGTGCCGGAACATTATCGGAGAGGCAGCGCGTAAAAAACGTCATTATCCAGAGCTTACCACAGGATTTGAAGTCTCAAATTAGTATCTACTTATTTTCCACTCCGTAGTTGGAATCTTTACAGCGCGGAACTCCATGATATCTCCAAGATATTCAAGATATCAGTGACGTGGCAAGTCAACGTGGTGCTCAATGTGGGACTTGGGCTTGGCGCCTTCCCCAATACTTGATCCCGGATTCGCAGTCCTTGCATGTGAAATTCACATGGGAAAAAATTTTTCTCTCTGGTTGCCATCACTGAAGATGGTGCCACAGGAACCAGCCGAGGAAACTGCGCGCGGTGCAAACCGCAAGCAACTGTGCTGAATTTTCGGCGCGTAGTGAGCCTCATACATGCACGGACAAACAGCGAAAGAATTTCGGCTCTCCGTATGACGGATCAGGGGCCAGTTTCCACTAGACTTGGTGAGGCTTCCTAGTGTCTCGGGTGGGCTACTCCCGGGTTCGGGTCCCGGGGTGAGGGTCCGACCTTCCACGATATTTCATCTGACGCTCATCCTTCTGAAGTGAGTCAAGGCGTTGCGTCACAACATTCCGCTCCCGTCCCTCCCCTTGGCCGTCTGTTCCATGGAGATGGATATTCTATGGGCGAATGGGGAATAAACTGTAGGTATATATAATTCAGCTATGCAAAACGTCCCTTTATACTCGTCGTTGACCCTCCCGTCGCGCGATTTGTTCTGCGATTCGACATAAATCCGCAGGAGATCCCAGAAAAGAAAATGCCGATAGCCGCGACCCGAACCCCTTAGACTCCCTCGGGGTCAATTCGTCGGTGTGAAGGTTAATCAACTACACATCGACTAGCTCTTCATTAACGTCGCGATAATCCCTCTTGAACGACTCATCTTCACCGAAAACATGCACACACTACATGCTTCACAGATTCGTCGCATCCGGCGGAATGTGTCGATGAGATGTGTCGACGCAGGCTCGCCTATAACACTGTAGAAGACATTTCGCTCCCGCTTCTGTACTTCGTAGGGGCAGCATGAAGTAATTCCGTTTTCGGCCACGAAATGAGTGGCCTGAGAGCGGGGGAAGACTATTGGCCACGGTATCCCTTACGCAACGTCTAGACTTACTTTATTTGAAAAATCTATATTTGAGCTCCCGAGAGTGATGAGCAAGATGTCATTGATATTCAACGACATCTAGCATTTTCCACGGTAAGAATCACTCCGGAGGCGTCACGACAGCGTGAATATTCTGATGAGGGTATCTCACTTCAAAGTCTGAAGTGCATTCCGTATCTCATGTGAATCTTTCGCTCGAATTCCATATTCCATAATTTCTTCGTTCCTCGACTGAAAGACGATTCATTTTCTTTCATTTGATTGACGAAAAAGTCCGGAATATTAGGAATGCATTCTCTCACGAGGATCCTCCTTCTGGAACGCCCCCGAACGGTTCCCGCAGTTCAAAAGTTCGTATCGCTGCAGCGTTGACGCCCGTGGCGTCGCGCCGTTCAGAAATACTCGTCGTTTTCTCCATGAATGATACCGGGGATATGGTTGTTGTAGAGGAATCGAAAAGTGGGTACTCAATCGCTCCGTACTTGGCGCCGTAAACGAAGTTAGGACACGACCTCGTCATCATTTGACTCGATTCTGAATCGGTAATCTGGAGCTCCTTCTATCGAGACGCTCAACTTGGCTTCAGAAAACACAAAGACAGCTCAGACAAAGACGAGCTCTCAACAGCTATTTCTTTATCAGTCATCTGTCCATACTACCCAGTGGTCTGGTGGTCGCCTTTCAAGCGCGATTCGCCATTCAGCGCTCGCCGTGACCAGGAGAGCAATTAGCACGATATGGGGAGGACGAATCGCCAAGGATTGAAGCGGGGAACGAAAAGATGAACGCCTTACGATTCGGCCAAGGTCGGGAAGCTCCTGACTGAAAGCCTGTCTTACAGAAAACGAAGCTCCACGTTTTCTTTGACGCTGCCGGACGTATGCATTGAAAAGTGGCCGGACCGCCCGCTTACCTTCCATCGCATGATTGAGCCGGTCAGTCAGTGCGAGAAAGCGCTCCAGAAAATATCAGAAAAGCGGCAGAAAATCTATCCTGTCTATTACTGTACCCATGCGAACATCGCTATTTACAGCGATGGATAATAGAACCTTGATTACAAAACTGTTGAGCGAAATCGGACCTTGTTACTTGTCGAGGACCTGTTTGACCGGTGCTTGGTGGGGCAGCTCAACTTGACCGGCATTTCTTATTTCTCCGCTGAGAGCTCTTTTTTGCCAAAAAAGAAACCTGACATCCTCGTCGGAGTATCATATGGGAATAAGGTGGTTGAACATTCCACGATCGGTTGAAACATCGATCTTGAGATGGAAAATGGCAGATTAGGTGAATTGCGACCGCCATCCAAAGTCCTGTACTGTTTCGGAGCCTATAGATCTTAACATTGTACTCATCACTCATTCTATGGAGCTGAGCGATCTCATATCAGGGAAATAACAATTCAGCGCCAACGATTGCGAAACCATTCCGACCTCGCGGCCGTTGGCAATAGCTCAGATGTAATGAGTAGGTAGCGCTTGACTTCTCACATTCATTTGTCCGTATGTTCCCAGGAGATGATCGCCGATAGACAGCTCTCCGCTTCATATATGCGGATTGAACTCGACACTGAATTCTGGACAATAAAGACAAGGGATCGTACGCACGCAAACTTATCACTTAACGCGCGTCATCTGAATGATCTTTGATTCATCCGCTAGGTACTCGATAACTCCCTTCTTCTCCCCCAACGTGTGGAGCTGGTGACAAGATGATCGGAAGACAAAAACCATTTGGTCCTCAGCCGGAAGCAAGCTCGATGTATTACGAACTCGCGCCCGGAGCTTACTCCACGGGACAGGAATTTTTTTGTTCGGAACAGCCACAGAATCTCATTCTGGAACGTCCAGGTCCCGGAAGCCCACAGAATACGCAACAATCGAAACGAACCTTCGGGAGGATCGGGTGCGGCTCGATTCACAGACTCAATCAATTCCAGATACGGAGCCTCCAATTAAATGTCCGAACACGACTCAATCCCACCCCTGGAAAGCCGATAGTCTGTGTATGACCTTGAAGTCCTCGGATTCTTAATTCGATTTCTGAACCGTCGAAGTTTCTGTCCGACTCGGACTCTCTGACTCGAATATACAACGCCAATGCATACCCTGAATAGGGAAGTGAAATCCCCGGAAAACTCCACCGATAAGCTCTGTCTCATAAGTCGCGACTGAACTTCGGAGAGAAGAAGCAGGCCGCTTCACCAAAATGATGGAGTTCCTCAGGTGCAAGACTCCCCATCGCCGCGAATTCTGATCGCCACCTGCCCCACCTCTCTCTTTTCTCATTTGCATTCGACTCGGCCCATGGTAATTTCGGAGTATCGGACGTTTCCGTGAGCTCCCCAGCGGCAGGAACAATCGACGTGATTAGAGGAACAGTCGGTACAGCGCGCAGGCGGGCGGGCAGCTCAGTGGACGGGCGTCGTTCCCGTTCGTGTAATACTTTTTTTCTCTATTGCTTTTGAGGGCGTTCGATATTCGAGCGGAATGCCAAGGACACGATCCCATAGCGAAACCAAGCCCAAAGTTTCCAAGAGCAGCGGGTCACCTGAGAAAAGAGCCAGAAGAAAAAACAGATTCCTTTCTGCCAGCCAAGTAGTCGATCGCCAGGTCGCCAACACCCCGCACGATCAAAACTTGATCGAAAATTCACAGAGAGCATCCCCGTCGGCCGAAACTTTTAGTCTCAGAGACGTCGGACATCCCTCCAGATGGACGTGTCGTCACCCGTCGGTGCTGGGCCGCGGCTCGCTCCTCTTGTCATGAGATTGAAACGACGTCTCAGTACGCGGAATCCCGACGGCGAAGGAAGAGCACCACGAGTCGATGGT